GAAGACAGCCAGGTCCCTGATGAGACGTACCATTGTCAGCACCCACCCTGTCGTATGCACATCTGTGAGCTGGACCCATCCATCGCAGCGGTAGGAATGGCAGGGGGGATTTTATAGCACAGAGCTTTTGTGTCCCAAACTAAAGCCCATTGTTAATCGTGATTGTGAGCAGGCAGAAAAAACTTTTTAGTCAGATGTTCCATAGCCAATTGTTTTTTCTGGTTTCTGCCAGGGTTTCTTCTGCAGAACAGAGGACGAGTTTGATGACTGGTGTATGCGCTTAAGAAGGGTATGTTTGTGTGTGTGTGTGTGTGTGTGTGTGTGTGAACACTGCTCCTCTGTTGTTCCCTTGACCCGTCCAAACAAAATCATCACTTTCCCGTTAGAGGAATCTGTAGATGAAATGATGAAATGTCTTCCTCTTCTAGCTGTCCTGCAAAAGAGGGGGCCTGCCCATGTTTGAACTAGTAGACAGTCAGCCGTCTCACATGGTCAGCGTGGATGCCCTTAACCTTACTCCTGGTAAATAACACTGCACATTTTTGGCAACATATTTTACCCCCCCCCAAAAAATTGGTTAATGAAAACATTTTTTTTTTCTTTTATGTGTTGATCCCCTTTCCTTCGCAGATTTCTCGGACTCGGACCGGTTGGAGCGGTTCTTTGACTCAGAAGACGAAGAGTTTGAGATCCTCTCCCTGTGAGGAACATATGAACAATGATTTACTGTTCTCGACAGCAGGCGAGAGACTCTGTCTCTTCTCTGTATCAGAAGGGAAGCCTGAGAGGAGGAACATTATTTGGAGACCTCTTGAGCCAATCCAGCTCCAATGGTGTAGTCAGTGTGTCACACAGTGTTCTTCAACCTCTGATTGCTCTGTATCCAACATTGAGACTGCCTGGTGGAAGCCGTAGCAGGAGCTCAGGATAAATTCTGTATGCACATCTTCACATACATGTGTTTCCATTTGAGTCTTAACACTTTAAATGTTTATTCTGAAGTGATATGGTGCCTTTCCCTGACTCCATAAGTAAAATTGCCATAACAGTTTTCTGTTGTATAGAACACAATGGTTCATAATGCCCATGGCTTGCGCAGTTTGTCACTAATAACTGAAGTCTGTAACAGCCTGTAATGAAACCAAATTTAGTCAAATCTGCAGACAAGTTGTATTAATTGTTCATGCAAAGTATCCTTGCCAAGTCTGAACATATACACTAGTTCATTTGAAGATTATTTATTTAATCACAATATCTAGACAGGTGAAAGAACAATAGACATGTAAGAGATTAAAAACTAAAAATAAAATCCAAATCTGATATTTGAAAACTGAATCTCTCTCTTCGATTTCAAGACAGTCTAAAAAAATATATCGCATAAACAATATGGCAAGTGGGCTAAACAATGTGTAGTGTGCAAAAGAATGAGTTAGTTATTATAGCAAATAATGTACAAAAATAACTAAATCTTGCATCACAGAGTGTCTTGGTCCTGTAACAGCGGTTTCACCCAGACTGGCATGCGGTCACTTCCATAGCTCTCCAAGCGGCAGGTTCTGAGCTGTGTTGATAGTATTAAGGCTGTGGGTGGTGATCTCCCTGTGCACATCCTCAATACTCTGAGAAGCATCAATTTCCTAGAACAGACGATTAAGATGACAACATATATTGAATACGATCAGTTTAATCTTATTTAACATGTCACCTGGGAATAAATTATCTCGTACCTGCCAGTTGACTGAGGGATCTTTCATCAGCTGATCAAATTTCTGTTGAACTGTTCTTTGGAAATCGTCGATCTCATATCTCTCTTCCCCAAACTGGCCTCTGAGAGCAGCCTGAGCAGGGCTGAGCTGTAGAAACATAACGAGGTCCGGCTTTGGCAGTCCCACGTCAGGTTTCTTGCACCAGTCCAGACAGAACCCCTGGAGAGGACGGAGCAAGTCAAGCTAGCTGTTGCTCCTCTCATAACCGACATGACGATGATGATGATGATGATGGATGCAGAGTTTGAACGGCTAAAAAAAGACTCACCGGCTTGGCACTGGTGAAAGCAGCTCCAGAGAAGGCATACCTGTCTACAACCAGAGTGGTGCCTTGCTCCAGCTTCTTCTTCATTGAAGGTCTATGGGTGAGAATAATTTTACTATGCTGCACAAGAAAATTCAGGCTAAAACATATACACCTTCCCCCACCCCCACCTGAGTGTGGATTATTGTTAAAAGAGTTACCTGCAGAAAGAAATTGTTAAGAAGATTTACACAAAGTTGTGTGCTTTTCTAAACAACGTTGCTGGTGATATTCCATTTTTTTTTTGTTTTGTTTTCCACGAATCTCATAAAAAGACCAAACCATCACTGTGTTCTCGAGTTTGTCTTTAATATGTTCCTCAGCCTGTCTGTGGCTCTAGGCTCCAAATCCATTTAAAAACTTTCATGTAAAAAAGATCACATGTACATACTTTTTTTTTCTTCTTTTTTTTTAAAAGCAAAATAAACATCTGGCCACTGTAGCCTTTAGCAAACATTACTCAAACAGGAATAAGTATTGCTTTTGTCATGGACTATTTATTGCACCAGGATGGCATGTTAGGGGTCGACCAAAAAAACGAAACAAAACAACAAACATCTACAGTGCTGTAGTCATGGTAATGTGCAATACTGTGGCTCGTGGTTTTGGACAACAACAGAGTAATGAATTATAGGAGGATTTGACGACACAGACAAAACTTGTCAGTCGGATCAGTTAATTGTTGGTTTCGGTATTTTCATGTTATTTGCCGACTATAAGCAAAATACAGAATATCATAATATTTATTCCTACCTTACATTTTGTTAGACTTTTATTATTTATACTCCATTTAAGTCCGTGCTTTACATGCAAAACATCCACTGAGCTGAATAAGATACAACCACTGCAATAGTTATATAAAAACAGAAATACCAGAATGCATAAAAATAAAGTGCATTTCACCCAACAAATAGAACTCTAGTGTAACTGACCTTATTTTCAGACACAGAAGTGGTATGATGCTCAAGGTTTAAATGAGCAGGAGTCTGATCGAGCAACTTCGGGCAAAAGTACATTAAACATTAAAAAGGGTCAGTTTATTCATGATATATATATATATATATAAAATACATAAAAACACATTCTATTCCTTTATCCTGAATTGTTTTTTTGTTTGTTTTTTTAATTGATGCAGTTATAGATATATATTCCTCTGAAACTTCTGCCCTCATATTAACACAATGGGGCACCAATGGAATTGCTTTTGTTGCTATTAAGCGTATGAAATTTAACTTTTAAACGCACATCCTCAATTACCAGGCTAAATAAACCCAGAACTCAGTGAATGGCTTGATACCACAAAAAAAGAAAAACCAGGGCTGTCCCTTAAACGTCAGCTGATGACTCTGATCACTGGGCGTGTTTCAGCTGTGACATTGTGGGTAGAACTAGAACCCTAACTGTAGTGGAGGCATGTTTATTTAACACACCTGTGATGTTCCTGCTATGACATACCTGCAGTAATACAATCCACTGTCGACTTAAACACTATTTTCACTTTACAATAACATTTGAATGTAAGACTTTACGTGTTTTAAACAGTGTCTCGTCGCACAATAAATGCAGGGGGCCTTACACCATCTCCCAGCGGTTTGCAGAGAACAGCAAGTGCACGACATGGTCCTCCAGGTCACTCTTCTTCTCCAGGTAGGCGCTGATCAGCTGTCCAATTATTGTGGTCCTGTCTGCACCAAGAAATCACAGCAAGTTACACAGCGGTCACGTGTCCTACCTTCACCCACACACCTGGACGGGAGCATTCAAACAGACAAACACTGGTACAAAGCGATTGAGACAGTGTCCCGTCTCACCGGGGAATCTCATCATCTCCACGGACTGTCCACTTTGTTGTAGCGCCTGGACTAGTTTGTTGCACTGCGTCGTTTTCCCGGCTTTGTCCACCCCCTCCAGCACAATGAGCGCTCCTCTTTTACCCGCCATGACACCCGACTGTTTACCAGCGCTGTCGTGGAGTTTACAGAGACAAAGACGAGCTGTCCTAGCTCCACGGAAGGGAAGAATGCGCGTCACCAGCATTTACCGCCTTTTTTTTTTTTATTATTGAAACTAAATGCCAACAAGGAAGTTAAGTCGCACTTCCGGTTTCGTCATTTTGTAATAACTTTATTTAAACCAGCGGGAGAAGAGAATAACAAATACACGTGGGTTTATTAGGTACACCTTGCTAAAACTAAGACAGTTTAATCCCCTTAGGTAATTTAGAAAACATAATTACATTTTATAATTACATTATTGAAGACATTTAATATTATTATTATTATTATGTTATTCGTGTCTTTCCCATATATTATTGATTTTGATTGCACACTCCATTAACACTAACACAAATTCACTTGTATAGAGTGCTGAATTTACAAAAAGGAGCTGCTGGTGTTTATATACTTTTTAAATTTAATTTTAATGAAAGGTGGCTGTGTGTTGTTTTTTGGAGGGTTATTTCCCTATTTGTTAGCATGTATTTAAGGGGAAAGATCCAATCCTTTTCACAACATATATTTTCAACTACTTACTTACTTCTTATAGCAAAAGTATATCAAAGCTTTAGCAGTATACTAATAACTAAGATTCATGGGATGTGTAGTTGTTGGATGAAGAGTTTTTTAAATTATTATTTAAATGGTCTTTTGAATATTAACAGAAAAAAAAAGAGTGAGGTATTTAGTAAGATGAAATAAGCTAGAATAGCTAGGATGTGGTCTCTGTTTCACATGCAAAATGTACCTAATGTACCATTTAGAGTGGAATACTATCATGTAAAAAAAATAGGTAGCATGTGTTTATATTAGACTGAAAACCAAACATAATTGGTAAAGGCTTAGATCACAGACTGGTACTGGCAGAAGATGTCACAGTACTATGAGGACAAGCCCAGTTTTCCTATTCAAGCAATGAATGAGCTGCACAAGACGGAGAGAATAATCATTTATTTATTACACATAGTCTCTTGTTTATGATAATAGCGCTGGTTCAGGATTATCGCTGAACCATCCAACAGCAACATGTCACACTTTGCTCTTGTGGCAGTGTTTCAGAGCATCTTTCAGTGCCGCCAGCACCATGTCAACATTGGCCTTGCTGCTGTTACATCCCATCAATCCAACACGCAACACCTGAAAAGACCAAATACAACTAGAATTTAGGCTGCACAGGACTTCAGCAACTTCCATGTGAACAAATACGTGGTAAAGAAGTGAGTATAAAGGCACATAATCTTTTACCAAGCCAACTGATGGTCCAAGCCCTCCAGAAATTTCTAAGTTGTGTGTTTTCATGATGTAGGTTGTGATCTCTTTCCAGTCATATCCATGAGGAGCGACGATAGTGGTCACTGTGGGCAGTCTCGCTTTCTGTAACATCCAATTAAGTCAGGCTTGGTAAGTTCCCATTTCCCCAAAACAGCTTCATGAATGAATGTGTGAATTCCACCAAGGGTAATTAGAAAAATCACATGACATTACATGGTATGGGAACTTGAAACTCACTTTTTCCTTGACAAAAAGTTTGAGACCCATGCTTTCTAGACCAGCGTGGAAATATTCCGCCACTTTTTCATGTCTTTCCCACGACTTCTCCAGACCCTTAGAAGAACAAAACATAAAAACAACAGTCACAAAAACAAACAAAACATTTATTGAATAGCCATGACCGTTTATGCATAACCCATATTTCCAATTTGTACATGTTCATTTTCAATGTGCTGTTCAGTGAGCTCTATGAGGCTGTGCTTTGGCACAGCGGTGCTTCAACCTGAATGCTAATGCTATGCTAACATGCTCACAATGACAATGCTATCATTCTGATGTTTAACAGGTGTAATGTTTACCATGTTCTCCATCTTAGTTTAGCATGTTAGCATTTGCTTTATAGTGCTAAACACAAGTGCAACTGAGGCTGGTGGGAATTAGTTATTAGTTAGTGATTAGTTTTGCTGGTCATAAACCAAAGCATTGGACAAACTGAAATTTTGACCTGATGATGCTGCAAGACAGAGGATCACCAGAGTCAGTAGGATCCATCCTCTGGGGAACACGAATTTCAGCTCATTAAATAGTTGTTGAAATCTTTCAGCTGGGACAAAAGTGGTCGACTGACCGACCAACAGACCAATCAGCTCATTCCTGCAGCCTTGGCTCCAAAAGCTTCTCAGTGGTTAATTCATATTTTTTACCTTGTTCTGACAAAAGTATTGTTGGCACAGAGGTGGAATGGTACATTTTTTTTCCCCACTCTTGTACCTGCTCAATATCTTTCTGTATAGTGCTTTTGCAGCTCCAGACAAAAACGCAAAATCAAGATATTTCACTTTAACACGTCCCACCTCTTCAACAAGGACAGCCAGGCTCTCCCTCAGGGAGTAAAAAGCAGTGACCGGACCTGTGTGGTGATATCTACAGGGAGGAAATACCGAGGACAGAGAAATATACAGAGATTGTGCAACGTACGGCTAAAAATGAAACCACTGTTCAAAATGTGATCGGTTCCTGTTTGAAGGAAACAAAAAACGTCTTACACTCTGGACGGCTTGCCATCACATCCCCAGTAGTTTGCGAGCCAACTCAAATCCAAGAAGAATGACACGGGCTTTGTCCTCCGGTTGAATATTTTCTGGCTGTGGACAAATTCAGCCTTAAAAAAAAAAAACTCTTCACAATTGAATCCTAATCTATAACTTGCAGCCATGTAAGGTGTATACAGCTCTCACCACGCTCTCTCACTGAAGGAGATGGGTGCTGTACCCGGCGGGGCATTCAGAACCTTTTGAGAGCCTGTGTATAGGATGTCTATTCCTGTGAATACAGACATTCACAAACAAGACAAATCTGTTTTTGGTGACAACAAAACCGATATAGAAGCACAGTACGGACGTGTTCAATGTTTTCATCAGCTGCTTTTGGAAGGATTTAAGACTAAACCTTGCTGGTCCATGTATAGAGGGGTTCCTCCCATTGAAGCCACAGAGTCTACGAGAAACAGGCAGTTGTACCTGTAGGCAAAAATCATAAAACATCTGCTTTAATCTGCTTATCTTTTGTTACAGATGTGACGATGACGGAGGTGCTGAGCGTCGCGTCTCACTTGTGACACAGCTGTCCGATGCCATCTAAAGGATGCAAGACTCCTGTGGAGGATTCTCCGTGAGCGAGGAAGAACAGGACGGGCCTGTGCTTTGATAAGGCCTGCGGTGAGAAAACAGTGTGATCGCTCAGACTGAGGCTTCGACAGGAATTACTAATTGATAATTGGAGTGTTAGGACACAGTGTACCTGCTCGAGCTCTGCATTGGTGAAGAAGCCTCCAGGAGGCGCCACGATGGTGTTCACTCTGGCCCCTGTTGGATTGACACGCATGGTATTCTGTCATGATTGTTATTCCGTCGTTTGATAGATGACACATGATTTTTTTTTATTTTTTTAAAGTACCTATCCTCTCTGCCATTTCCGCCGCTCGCTCTCCCCATATGCCGTTCACGGCAGCCAGCACGCTGTCCCCGGGCTCCACTGCGTTGAAGATGGCGCACTCCATGGCAGTGTGGCCGGTGCCGCTCACAGCTAAAGTCATACTGTTGCGAGTCTGAAACATGTACTGGATTCCACTTTTGATGTCATTCATGATCTGTAATGTAAAATGAGAAACGTATGGTGAGTTGAAATAGAAATATGTTAATCTTTACTGTTGCCTTCAATAAGCGGCAGACTGAGTGTGGTTAGCTGCAGCGCTTTAAATCTCTACAATCAAGCTAGAAGTCACGTGGTCAGAAAATTAACCAGCAACTATTCTGATTATTGATTTACTCATTTTAAGAAAAAAAAAGAAATCAAAATATGGATATATGAATTCCTTTTTTTTTTTTTTTTTTCATTTTTTTGCCCAAAAAGTTAAAAGACAATAACTGGCAAATTGATCAATAGTGAAACACATATTAGGTTCAGGCCAGTATGTGCACTCACTCACTCACTCACTCACTCACTCACTCACTCACTCACTCACTCACTCACACACACACACACAGGAATGATGAATAACAACTTTTGAAATATATTACAAAATATTTTGCAAAATATACTTTAAGTATTAAAAATGAAAGTGTTCATTGTATGTAATCAGGTCATGTTTGAACTACTTTATAAATTACAGTATGTTGGGTCATTTAATTTAAAAAAAAGCATTTTTTTTTTCTTCTTGTTGATCTTTTCTGTGTAAAATCTCAATCTACAAAGTAACCAGGCACTAAATCAGCTAAAGTAAAGAAATATATTAGTATAAAATGCCCAGTATTTCTCTTTGAGGTGCAGTAGAGTGGAAGCAAAGCAACATGAAACTGAAATACTCAAGTAAAGTACAATTGCATCAAAATTAGTACAATACTTGAGTAAATAGTTTTCTGCGCACCACAGAGACAATTTTGTGACAGATAGATGATGCCAGTCTCTTCCTCTAGAATCTACATCATTTGTATTAAATACAGTGTCACCTCAAATATCTCTGGGTGCATGTGTCCGATGACAGGACTGGCCCCGGCGTCCAAGATGCGAGGAGGGACGTTGGAGGGTCCCGGTCCAAACATGTGACGGTGAGGAACCGCCAGCGGTTTCTGCAGGCATTTTGGTGGAGGCACAGAGATGGACGACATGTTTCAAACAGTGCGACACGCGCAGTAAAACCACAAAGAGCCGTGGAATCGGGTGAAGTATGAACTCAGCTGAGCACTCCCCTCTGTCTGACCAGTGAGGTCCGCAGGTCAGGAGTCTGTCACAACATTTTCTGCTTTTATCTCTTTCGTCTTTTGTCAACACTCTGTTTTCTGAGCTCAGGTAGCTTGATGCTTTTTTTTTTTTCCACAGATAAGGAAGTCAACATGTCCTCAAATGTTAATTATTGACTACAGGCTCTCCAGGCTTAACTATTACACTGCTATCCACTGCTCTTGCCCCATTAACAGACTGTTCCTGGCTGAACATACAAGTGTAAATGTGCTCTGCAAGCCTGCATTTGAAATCCATCAATTGTACCCTCTGAAAAGTTTGGACTTGTAATATTCACACAGGAGATTTCACTTTAATATTTGGACAGTTTGTACTGTTCAAACATTGTTTGAAAGTTTGGAAAAGCCAAGGAAAAGTAAAGTGAAAAAGGCTCCTTCTTTAGGATATAAACAACATTATGATGTTGCGCCAGTAATTAGAGGTTTCACCATGTTGTAGAGTTTTATTTTGGTGCATCAGTTACATTAAACAGTGTTGTATTGTCAGAATCATCACCTTTAGAGTAAGAGGTAAGAGAATCAAGGCAGAAGACTCCACATGCCTCAAACCTCCACTCTCAGGACATAATAATGATAATAACATAATAAACCAAACATGTTGAATAGTTGAGTCAATGAGACGTTTATGTGTAAATCACACGGTTCAGTCTTTGAGGAGAATCTGAAAATACTTTGCTTGAAAACGTATATGCAGCAGTCTGGGGTCTTTGTAAACACGTGTTGCGCACAATTATAAGATTGATTCAGTCTGTTTATGTTGTTTCCATCACACCTGCCATAATAACACTCAGCTCATAATGTCCATAACCACGTTCTGTATGTTGTCTTTCTCTAGCTTCAGTAGCTTTGTTTAAAAGGGTCTTAACAATCTGTTAAACCAGCGTCTGTTCCCAGTTCTATTACAGACGAAAACTATCATTTAAAAACTTTTGGATAGTGAAATATGATGAAATGGTAGATGTCATCTTGCTTCACAGCTGGGCTTGATTGTTCCTCTGAGGGATGAGGAGGTGTTTCCCCAGAGGCTCGGGGCTGAAGGAGCCGTCTTTGTAGACCAGCCGTCCCCTGAGGATGGTGGCACACACCGCTCCCCGCAGTGCAAAGCCAAGGTAAGGAGTTATCTGCACGAACACGATCACACGCTCAAAAATCAGCGCTCGATCCATCACATTGTCTATGTAGGGAATGTGTCCCGATGATTTTACTGACCTTGTTTTTATGGTGTATGCCTGCTTCTTGGATCTGTGGAAGTATAACAGAAAATGAAACGCAGCCGATTGAGACGTTTGGTGATTCATAATGTTGTTGGACTCCTTACACTAACCTCAAACTCTCTCTCTGGGTCCCATACGACCAAGTCGGCATCATAGCCGGGGCAGAGGCTGCCCTTCTGGTTGTCGAGACTGCACAGCTGGGCCGTTTTCTGGCTGAGAAGCCTCGCCACATCAGACAGCTGAAAGCCTCTCTTACTGGCTGAGCTCCAGAACAGAGGCAAGCCTGGTAATAAATGGTGAGTAATGAACAATCCTATGGAGATTGAGTCGACACCAGTCAAATATGAAAAGCTTTGTGCAGTTTTATGCACTCCTGCATTCATTAATCCTTTTCATATAAGTCTAATCACGTCAGGGAGCGTCATTATTATAAGTACTAAAACATTGTGTAAAGTAATGTCAGACTGTGACCACTCTCTCTCTCTCTCTCTCTCTCTCTCTCTCTCTCTCTCTCTTTCTCTCTCTGTGTCAGAACAGTAAATAATTGTTCTGTCCTCTAAACAGCTCTTGTTTACCTGCCAGTGAACTTTGCCCAGTGTGTGGGCGATTGTCAAAAGGATTAAAATGGGAGGAGGGAAGGAGGTAACAACTAATCCACCCCTAAAAAACTTGCATATATTAGTCGTGTAATATTGTGCAGAGCTGTCTTATGTTGTGAATTTTAGCCAGCGTCTCTTCCAGCTGAGCAGCATAGAGAGGATTTGTCACATAGAGACAAAATCCTGGATCTGCTCCACAGACTGAATAATGTGAAAGCTGTCGTGGCTCTGTGGCAGCAGCCGCGGAGGCTTTGCAGTGATGGTGTCCTCACGATGGAAACTCTCAAATGAAACCTCTATGGCAAGCAGCATAGTGTGTAAGTGTCACCTGACACCATCAATGATCACTCTCCAGTAGAGTGAATTTGTGACCGTCGACACAATTGACAGAGCATGATGATGTCACATCAAACAAATACTCCCAAGGTTAGGCAAATTAAGAATAAAAAATAAAGTTTGCACACTGCTTTGCAGCATGAAACTTTGCAGCAGATAATAAAGGAATAAATGCCAATTTGCAGGCATCATTAACTGTATTAGCTGCATCTGCGTCCATGCTGCATTCACACCTTGTCAGCAGAGTGAGATGCTGTGGGTGCCCCATGGAAAACAAACTTTCTTTTCTTTATTGCATAAACAATTTTTCCACCCAATGATGAAACCAGGAAACGTTGGAGCTTTTGAATTAGTTTTTTGCAAAAACTCCAAATGTAACACTGTCACCTTGCTGAGTTATAAACTTGCTGAGTTAAAACAATGAGCTGAAAAACACTAAAACACAGGTTAACTGTTAATCCACTGTTAAAAATAATGATAAGAGAGGCTTTAATTTGGGTTTTTAATTACACCGACCTGTCAGAGATGTTAGCTATGAAGACATTTTGGCTGAGGCTTTCCGCTAAATGAGAGATATTCTACATTCACCATCAGGAAGCCTGTATATAGCTCCCACTCATAGTTACAACTGCCAAGCTGTTGTGATTGTTTTTACCATTTAGCTGCTAGTCTTTACCCTCTCTATAGTGTGACATGAATGCAGCATAGCGGTAATACTTTCAGTCAGTGGCTGTAGTTTTTACAGTGCACACCGGGACATTAAGGGAGCTGAACGTCCAGTGCACTGGATGAATTTTAGAAGTTGGATCATCCTGGAAAATGGCTGATGCCCTGGGCAGTTCTCTGAACAACAGAACAGGTCGAGATAAATGGGACATAATGTAACAACTCAGTAACAACTCATTTGAACATAAAAGTATAATTTTATGCTGCACTGAGTCATGCTAGAACTACAGTTTTTATTGTTGCACCGATGGGGGGGGGGGGAAGTAATATATAGCGTCTAGTTACCAAATTGTAGTGAAGAAATTCCCCCCCAGGCCTGAGTGAAGTCTCCACTATCCAGTTTCTTCAGATCGGGGGTGCAGGGAGAGTGATCGGACACCACCATGTCGATCTGCCCATCTTTCAGTGCTGACCATAACTGCTCCTGATGGGGCACAATCAATAATCTACTAGTAATCAAAGAATAAGAAAGCACGTGCAGCACAGTTTTATGTTGAGACTCAAACTCAAAATAGAGAGATTTTCATCCACTCTGCGTCCTGCTCCATTTACCCGATTATTAGATCCTCTGATGGGCGGACAGCACTTGAACTGTGTGGCCCCTGCAGGTATGTTCTCAGCACACAGGCTGAGGTAGTGGTGGGTCGTCTCCACCGTCAGGGGGGCTCCAGCCTGCCGCGCCCTCTGGATCAGTTTCAGTGGCTTCGCAGAGGACAGGTGCACTATATGGCACCGCACCCTGGAGCAGAGAAAGGTAGCTGACCGTGGTGCCGGTGCTACAGACACAAGCAAAATCCTATGACGTAATGGTTGTTTGTTACCATGCCGAGGTTCTTACTGGTACTGCAGGCAGAGCTCTGTGACGGTGCGAATGGCCTCCGTTTCCATGACGTCTGGCCTGGACCGCAGAAAGGTGGAGTACTGAGACGGGTCTAATATGGAAAGGGGTTTGGAACATTTCAGTTTTTTGTAACTGAAAACAAATGCTTTTAAATGATTTATCCCTCACTCACAATTTCATGAGTTACACAAACCAGAGCAGGGCAGTACGCCAGTGTAGTGTCAGCGCTGTGGTGTTATGATACCTTGATCTTAGATGCGCAAATAGAAGATACAGCTTTAATGTTGCTATTTAGCGGTCCTAAAAGTTAAGTGATTACATTTTTTGAACTTCTATTTTAGCTGGACACGATTCATAATTGATTTTCTTAAAGGGCTAGTTCACCCAAAAAACACATTTGATATTACCCCTTTGTAGTTGAGTTAAAATATGTTTTTATGATTAGGATGAAATGGAAAGTTTAGACAACTAGTAATTCTGTAATTCTGAAGTCTTGGTAGTCACAATATCATCACAGCATTGGTATTGAATTGTTGGGTCAAAATATGCGATATTTAGTTAGTCAATGCTGTCAAGCCCTAACATTAAACCTTTGTGTAAAAGTAACACTGGCGATTCTAGAGTCTGTTGCAGCCCAAGACAAAATATAGCAGAGGCGCCCTCCAGTCACTATTCATCACAATCATGTAATAAATAATCTCACGCCAATAAAAAATGTATGAAATCGAATAATTTTTTTAGTCCAAATGATCACATCTGCAGAATTTTCAAATATAGAACAACAAAAAAACAAAATAAATAATTTGGTCACATTGTAAATAACCCACATTATAAGGCCAGATAGTTACTGTTGGCGGTTTCATTTACTTAAATTATCTTTAGATTTAGAAAAGTAAAATAAAATCTTGTACATATGTGCAGGCTTTAAAACAGTTGGCAGCACTGCTTCTTGTCATTGCACATGGTCCAGGGAATGACATGGGGCCCCTTTAGGGAGGTTTCCTACTGAGAAGTCATTGCAGATTGTCCGTCGGTGGTTTAAAAGGGAGGGAGCCCCCTAACAGCCAGCGGCCCCAAGTAGTTGCCTGCCTCGCCTGTGTTCCCACATTCTTATACGTGACTATAATAACACCACAGACAGATTATCCACTGTACGGTGTAAAACTGTTCTTACCACCAGTCTCCTCCGTTGTCTGCTGAACATCTAACTCTGCGTGAAACTGGAGGAGACAAAGCGAAAGATGTTCCCGTTACATTTCTCCGTGCGGATTTACCAATCACAAAGTGCGGTACGTGTTACGGATGCTGCGATTGGAGAGTTACCAGCAGGACACTTCCTGTGCCTTGCAGCTGCTTCATGGCTGCGTGTAGATCACAGTCAGTCACGTGGGGAAACTCCTCCACTCCGCTATGGATGAGGAAACATTTGAAGCCGGCCACTCCGGCGTGGATCATGGGCCGCAGTTCTAGCTATAAAGAGACATCTGCTGTTTGTCTTTGCTTTAGGCCTGATTCAGTGCAGTCTGGCTGAGGACGAGTTCATTTTGTCCAAGCTGTTCCTCTGTAAGCCCTTACCTGGTTGCCAGGAATCACGCCTCCCCAGAAAGCTGTGTCCACAAAACACTTCCCTGACGCCTCACGCAGCTTCTCATGAAAATTACCCAGTGTGGTGGTCGCAGGAATGCTATTTCTGTGGGAAATTTTAGAAAACAAAACAAGAAAAAAATCATCATTGCTGGAAACTTAAAAATCTAATGTTTCCAAAATGTTATTTTCCCTTTGCCAAAAGCATCTTTAGTTTTACTGTAAGTCCATGAGCTAAGATCATCTTAGCCTTAAGATGCTTCTGGGAATCAGGACTTCAGGATTTTCATGGATTTACAGCTGAAAAAAATACTGTTGCCTTCAGGAGCAATTCTCCAGTAGTTGAAGTGTATTTACAGTAAAACTAAATTCAGCAGCTGATATAGTCTTTTATGTAGCTTGCTAGCTTAGCAGAAACACTGTGGCTAAAAGCTACACACCTCAAACACACCTCATCTTAATGAAACCAGAGTTTTTTGTTAATATAATTGATAATAATAAATTGATGCATTTGATAATAAAACAATACAACATTTATATTTTAAAAAAAACAACTTGATAACTGCTAACTCCTGTGCATAAGATTATGAATTATGGTTACCTTGGAGATAGAAATAATCTCTGTACATAAAGTAAAGAAATATTTCTTGAGAAAAAAAAAGTGTAAAAAGTTTGCAGGGGGAAAAACACAACTCAAGCTGCGAATGTATGTGCAACAACAGCTGATGTAAGGAGGGGAGAGTCTCCAACTTACAGTGGCATGTCTACAATCGTCGTCACCCCTCCGGCTGCAGCAGCCCTGGTGGCGGTCCAGAAACCCTCCCAGGAGGTGCGTCCTGGTTCGTTCACATGAACATGGCAATCTACAATACCCGGCATCACCACACTGTCACCCACATCCAACACCTGCAATCACAGCTGGGTCTCATCTCTCAGAATAACACGATCAATCAGGCGTTTGTGTGCAGATCAGAATGTTAAGAGTGTTAAATCGTTGCTTTTGCCCCTTATAACTTGTCTCTCGCTGTACATCCTTTTTTTTTTAAATTCCACAAAGGTGGGAGTGTGCAGAACCGAGATCAGTACGGGTCAGCTTACCTCACAGCCACCATCCCCCGAAAAGTTGTTGCCTGAGAGTATTTGATGGATCTTCCCATCCTTTATTACGACCACAGCAGGACGGACTTCGTTGCCAATCAGTACCCTCTTACTCCTCACAGCACTAACCGCTGACCCGACTTCCATGTCTGTTTTTATTGCGTGTTGCGTGTTAATGAATAGAGTAGACTCCCCCTGACTCTGGCTCTGGCTCTTCGCTTTAGATGCACTGTTGGCAGGTCATGGACCTTGTGCTGAGGCGCCGCCCCCTTCTAAATGGTTCAAAGTATAACCAATTTGTTGACTTGTCTCAGCTGTGTGACCTACAATGCGTCTGATCACCTTATGTGTTCAGGCAAAAACATTCCTCATGTCATGTCTCGTCTTTTCTGTCATGTTATGCACAATTTGTTACAGTGTAAAGTTTATATATGGACCTTTTAATTAAAAAGGTTTGAGTGCTATTTAAAACATTGCACAAGTACCAGCCTGAAGACGCCCTGAAGGTTCCAGCCTTGTACTCTCATGTTAATAGGATCCATCTGGTTTGGATAGAGATAAATCAGACAATATCAAGCTGAATATGGCGAGCTTGAGTTATCAGAATTTCATTTTAACCATCCCCGTCTGTGTCTGTATTTGTGTCTATGTGTGTTCTCATACAAAGGTTGTATTACTTACCTGCTGCTTCAGTGTTTCTGATGGGAGCTGCGGTACGAGCTCAATTCTTTGGGCGTAACTCATCTCCTGCGAGTTGGAAACTCCACACTGTCTTCATACATTGTCTGTGAATGCCTCACCACAGCGGCAAATGTTTGCTTAATATAGATTCAGAACAGCATCTCATTAAAGGATAAGTCCGCATTTTTTCCAAATCTAGATCTTAAAAAATAGTCAGGTGTCTGTATGTAAGGAGGACTGTGGATTTTGGCCCCATATCTCTTATAAGCCGTGTATGAACAGAGGTAATATTCACTTCAGTGTATGTACTTGTACATATGTGAGTACTGGCAGTATGTTTGCTGAGAGTGAGAGGTTGATGAGGCAGCTCCAAAACCGACCAACACGTGAGATTAACGTCATTCTTATTCATTTTTTAAATACACTTTTATTCGTGCTGTTTTCTTCTGGAAGATAATGTGATTTTTTTTGACGCATAAAAATGTAGAGTAAAAATACAAACCTACAGACGGATAACTTTAAAGAATAAAGTCAAATCAAGATGCGAGGAGCTCCATGTGCCCCTCACCTGTCCGTCATCCGTGTGACTGCAGGCCGCTCAGTCTGAGCGTCTATTGGCTGAGGGTCGCAGGAGAGGGGCGGGGTTTGGAGCCTGTGGGCTGGAGGCTGACAGGAGGAGGCTGGCAGGATGCGGTTTCGCCTCAGCGGGCCTCATCTCATCCCTCCATCCTCCCGGCCGGCGGTGCGCCGTGCGTTATGACGCCAGGCCGTTTGACGAGTGCATTACGTGGGGCTGGCGGAGCAGCACAGCAGCCTGGATCCACGTTATGTAATGCATCGGATACTGCTGTGAGTAGCAGGGGGGGGGGTTGAAAGCTGACGGCTGGCTGATTTTTTTTTTTTTACCGACGAACAACGGTGTGTTTTCTTGTGCACGAGCAGACGTCTGCTGTCGGCAAGTACAATGCTAATTATGAATCACTGGAGTGTGGTGTAATTGAGGCAGTCTGGGCATCAGTGGCCTATCCCTGAGGTGCACAGACGTCTGGAGCCTGCGGAAGCTGCACAGCGGGTTTTTTTTTTCTTTTCTTTTAGCCGTCCAGAGGCGCATCTCTGTTTTAAATTCGTCTCCTCCATCAGCGGAAATAAACCAATGCGGGTTTGTTTCGGAGAAGAATCTAGATCACATTTTGTTCTCCGTCGCATTGGTTTAATCCAACAGCCTGTGAGCTGTAGTATAAACAATGGCGGGTCCCGAGCAGTCCCAGCAGCAGCAGCAGGTAGAGGAGAAGGCAGAGCACATAGATGATGCTGAGATGGCTCTGCAAGGTATCAACATGCTGCTCAACAACGGATTCAAAGAAAGCGACGAGCTTTTCAGGAGATACAGGTATTTCTGCCTTTTTGTTGTCACGCCATGATAATCTGTCACTGCATGCTGCAAACCCCAAACCTGGAATATCAGCAAGTAATCCCCAAGAAAAAAAAATGTCACAAGTGGCTAAAACACTGAAGGGAAATTCAGAGAACAGCATGTACTGTACCGTTATACACACTGACTGAACCTGTGGCTTCACGTATATGACGATGTCATTCAAGTAAATGGCTGCTTTGACTGGTTTGAGAGGTGACATGTCTTTAGAGCCTGTTTACCAGCTGTCAGACTCACCTGGGATTCCCTGAAGCTTCCCGCTGACACACACCGCCTCTAACCGAGAGGTGACATTTTCATCATATAAACAGGTCATGGCATCGCTAGGCTTTACCAGGCGGCCAGCATGAGGATTATCCACTTGTATATTATTGTATATATATTTTTTTCTAAGCCTATTGTGGACAGGGAAATACTGTCGCTCCTCTCTTGCATGTCAAACAAATAGTTCCTGACATCAGTCAGGAGCTGTACCTGCTCCGGAGCACGCTCTACTTGTGCCAGCAGGATAAGTCATTTGCTGCTCTTTTTTATTTTAGTCATGCATATGATTCATTCTCCTGAGATAGAGCGGTGCTAAAACTGCTGTGTATTTCAACAAAGACGTTCAGCTTTGTTCGTATCTGATTTGTTTTGTGGTCTCTCTCTCTCTCTCTCCCTCCCTCCCCAGGACCCAGAGCCCACTGATGAGCTTCGGGGCCAGTTTCGTCAGTTTCCTGGTGAGTTTTTCCGCTCAGCTGGTGATAGAGCGCTCAAATAAGATGCCAGAGGAAGTATCAGTCGGTGTTAAGAAATAGCAAAAGAGCTATTAACATAATTGATATAGCAGCAGAGTTAGATCAAGCCCATGCCGTCACACTTCCTTTTTTTTCACCCCTCCAGGAAAACCGCACAGTATAAAGGCCAGAAATAAAACAATATGTCAAACTGATTGCATCACTGTCACCACTGGCATCCTCTCCTTTGCTTTTCCATCCATTAACATAATGGATGCATCTTCCTCTAAAGAACAGCATTGCTCTTGCAGAGAAGCGCATTACTATAACGCTGCATCCATCACTGATGAGGAGGGGCAGAGGGAGAGTTTTCACAGTGTGGTGGTCACTCTCTCTCTCTCACACACACACACACACACACACACACACACACACACAGACGCTCTGTCGCTGCCCCTTGTGCCGACACACACACACACACACACAGACGCTCTGTCGCTGCCCCTTGTGCCGACACACACACACACACACACATATCATGAAGCTACAGATGATGTCATCCTCCGTCCCCAGATGCTAAATGGCCCTGAAGGCAGTGGGGGGAGGTGATGTCTGACCATCACGGCAGACCTTCATACGTGCAGTGACAGTTAAATGCAGAACAGCAAATATCATACAAGCTAATGTGAAACCACGAAGCTCATCTCTAAATGTCACCAAAATATATGATACGTGGGTTTTTTCCTCCTTCATTTCTGTGTGAACGTGATCTCTAAAGTATTCGAGCAACATCACAGCAAAGATATTTCTGAGTCTGCCAGCTGGGCCGTGTCTTCGCAGCCCCAATCACACAGCTGTACAGATGTCACTGTGTTTCTCCATTCATTGTCATGCAGAAAGAGCCCTTTGTCCCTGCCTGCTTTTTTTTTTTTTTTTTTTTTTTTTTTTTAGAAAGAGTGATTAAGCATAACACTCCTTCAGTCTTATTTTAAAGATTGTAAGCCAGCTCAAGCAAAGATCTGCTCTGTGTGAGACAAGACAATTTAATATCAGAATTGTGATAATGCAATATTGTGTTTTTAATCTGACCCCATATATTGGTGAAGGACTTTCTTGCTGTATTTCATCGCAGAACGCCATGATGACATTTGAGGAGGAGAAGATGCAGACTGCCTGTGATGACCTGAGGACCACTGAGAAACTGTGCGAGAGTGACAGCGCCGGAGTGATAGAGACAATCAGAAACAAGATAAAGAAGAGTGTGAGTGTAAAACCGGGGATAAAGGAGGTGGAAAAGTGTAATATATGGACTGTAAGAACGCAACAGAAAAACCTGTTAACTAAACTCGGATTATAGTACCGCTGAAATAAAGTGATACCGGTGGCATCGGGTTACACATTTAGATTGCTGTCGTCTCTAATATTACAGCCAGAACAGGCTACAGTACAGATAACAATGTTTTTGTCTCCTCGGCATCAGGCCTAATGATGCCGGCAGCAGTGAGATCATGCCAAACCCACTCACAGATTGAATCAGTACTTCAGTGAAATGTAATCAACAAACTGAGTGAGGAGCGTGGGGGCTGGGCCATTCAGGAAACTTCTTGTTCCTGTGGTCACAAGAACACAGGAACACACAGCGGCCACTGGGAGAAACAAGCTGCGAGTGTATGTGCATACTGCTGATTGAATTTGTGTATGTCTGTCTGTCTGTCTGTCTGTCTGTCTGTCTGTGTGTGTGTGTGTGTGTGTGTGTGTGTGTGTGTGTTACAGATGGACTCCCAAAGGTCAGGCGTCGTTGTCGTGGACCGCCTTCAGAGACAGATCATCGTTGCCGACTGTCAGGTGTACCTCGCCGTGCTCTCCTTTGTCAAACAGGAACTTTCTGGTAATCAAACTTACAGTATTTGGAGCACGGTGTAATCGCAGCGGTGTCCGTCTGCGCATTTTTGTAAAACGGTGTAACTCAGAAAAACAAGACATCATCAAAAAACGTCATACTTGCAGATAAACGGTGTGGAGCTGATGACTTTAATCTCTTTAATTCATATTATCACCTCACAAGTTTAGATATTAGTGCCACAGTGGGGAAATTTGAAATGTTACAGTAGCAAAGAATTGCAAAATGAAAATATCAAATTCTAAAACTTTACAAAATATAAATAATAGATAAATAATATAGTACAGCAATGTAGAAGGTACAAATAGATATGACAATATGTTAAAAAAAATAGCAGCAGATAAGGAATATTGCACAGCTGGTGTGTGTTAATTATTGCACATGGGGAGTTTGTCAGTTTTTGATGTGTGTGGTCTATTGAGTGCTGTATTTGTTATCAGTTACTTCATTAATCTAATTAGACTAATTAGTAGAATGACAGAAAAAAACAAATGTCATTATTTATCAGTTTTGTTTTCTGTCTTATTGTAAAATGAATATATTTGGTTTGATCTTTTAGTCAGATGTAACGTGCAATTTGACTGAACATAATCATTAATCGTTTTGTTTAATTATCAGAAATTATGGTCTTGTTCTTCTCAACGAGCACGTCTCCTTGCAAAATCTCGTTAAAAGCATCTCACTTATTGTTTCCAATACCAGCATATATCAAAGGAGGCTGGATTCTTCGTAAGGCGTGGAAAATGTACAACAAGTGCCACAGTGATATCAGCCAGCTGCAGGAGGCCTGTCAGCGGAGGTCCTCCGTCAACCAGGACTCCCTCTCTGCGGACAACGCCAACCACAATGCACCAGTGGAGAACGCCGTGACGGCCGAGGCCCTGGACCGGCTCAAGGGCTCCGTCAGCTTTGGCTACGGCCTCTTCCATCTGTGCATCTCCATGGTACCGCCACATCTGCTCAAGATTATCAACCTGCTGGGCTTCCCCGGCGACCGGCTCCAGGGTCTGTCCTCCCTCATGTACGCGAGCGAGAGCAAGGACATGAAGGCACCACTCGCTACGTGAGTAGGCTCAGCTCATTGCCATTTCAAAGAGAGACACATAAGAGTTTAAAGATATATATATATATTATGTTAATATATTTTATACAATATATTGTTTTGGTTTCAGTGCCTTCACAGGTTTTGGTTTGCCCATTGTTCATTCTCTGTCCATCACCGAACGGCAGACAAAGGTAGAAACTAGCTGACGAACATACTGGAGCATTTAGCAGCAAAAGAGCCAGAGTCCAAAACAGAGAAAAATAGAGTGAATATTGGACTTATTTCAAAAATAGGCAACTGCTTGCGATCATATTTGCCATAACTTTACAGTATAAGGTGATAATATGTAAATGTTGTGTTTATAGCTCGTTGCACTGCCCCCAAGTGCTCAAAGTCAATTAGTGCAGTTTTAAATTCTTATCTATTTTCTGTCCTTTGTAGATTTAATGGTGGTGAGTGGTTTTTGTTTTGCAACCCCATGAAATATATAACATGGGTTGAAGAACAACCCATTACTAAAACAATACATTTCTAAAACTAAATTACACTAATAAATCAAATCAAATACCATACATGTTCCTGTCACTGGGCCTGATGTTTAGAGCTTTCTGCAGAGCGTTATATCTGATAACTCTCTATTTTCTTGCATATGATAATTAAATATGTTATAGCCTATATCATGCATATAATTCCCCCTGTCCTAAATTTATATAATTATTGAAACTGTAGTAATAAAGATGATAGAACACTGGTAGTTCTAGAGCTTTTAATCATACCACATTATCTTCATCATCACATTGCAGTTCATTCTTGACCTTGGAAACCCACCTCACAATGAAGTCCATTTAGTGGCAGAACAAGAGCTAACATGGGCAAGAAATCCATAAAGTACTTTAAGTACTCTAAATTATATTTGAACATTTGTAATTTTCCTGCTGATGAAGTATGAACTTTTAGGTTAAACTTCAGTAATAATGAATTATTTTTTGTAGAGTGGCTTTTATTTTCTGTGAGATGTGTATTATGTTTATGTCCAGGTTCATGTCACATTCTGAGAAGAGTCTGTTGTGTTGCTCAGGTTGGCCCTCTTGTGGTACCACACAGTAGTGCTGCCTTTCTTTGCTCTGGACGGCTCTGATACACATGCAGGGCTCCTGGAGGCCAAAGCTATTCTGCAGAGAAAGTCGGTGGTTTACCCCAACTCCTCGCTCTTCATGTTCTTTAAAGGACGGGTTCAGAGGCTAGAGGTATGTACCCCAGGCTCAGGGCTGGTAATAATCAGTGACTGTAGTTTTTTGACAGACCTGTAGTGGTTTATTTGTGTTTGTAATGTTGACTAAAGATATTTGATTGGCAAACACAGAGCAAAAGAATCTGTAAAGACTCTTCCCTCAGCCAGTTAGCGACCTCTGTTCAAGCACATGTAATTAATATGCATGTCAGACTGTTCATTAACTCACCAACATCTGATCAATCATCTACTTATTAACTCTCATTCAACACTTGGCGTGAAGTGTGTGTCTCTCTAACATGATTACTGTTACCTGTTGGTGTATGTGTTCTCTCCTCTGTCCCCAGTGCCATATCAACAGTGCTTTGGCCTGTTTCCATGATGCATTAGAGCTGGCATCAGACCAAAGAGAGATCCAGCATGTGTGTCTCTATGAGATTGGTATGTGTTTTTCTCATCAGGTTTAGTTGTGACATACTGGCCCTCTGTGTACAGTGCAGCGACAGATTCATTTTATTCTGTCCGCTTTTCACCGTGTCAGGTTGGTGCAGCATGATAGAGATGAATTTTGAAGACGCGTACAGGTCGTTTGAGAGGCTGAAGAATGAGTCGCGTTGGTCGCAGTGCTACTATGCCTACTTAACCGGAGGTGAGACCGACATACACTAACAAATGCTAACACTGTTGGGATGCTCCTACTCTGTGTTTTTTATGGTGCTTTCTTGCTGTTTTTCCAGTGTGCCAGGGTGCTTCTGGTGACCTGGATGGAGCAACTGGAGTTTTCAAAGATGTGCAGAAGCTGTTCAAGAGGAAAAACAACCAGATAGAGCAGTTTGCTGTCAAAAGGGTGGGTCCAGCTGCAAATGCTGCCCCCTTCTCTTTCTCTTTCTCTTTCTCACAAGCCAAGTGTGTCACAAAAACATTCCTTCACTGTCCAATTTCTTTCTGCAGGCTGACAGATTGAGAAAGATCTCACCCACCAGAGAGCTATGCATCCTCGGTGTAATTGAAGTGCTGTATCTGTGGAAAGCACTTCCAAACTGCTCCTCGTCTAAGCTGCAGATAATGAATCAGGGTGAGTGTAAACCTGCGTGATTCATACCAGCATAACCAGGTTAGCTGCAGTGAGATTTTCTAAGAATTTGATTTGACCCCGTGTGATGATGTCCTCTTGTGTCTGGTCAGTGTTACAGAGCGTAGATGAGGCTTCATGCAGAGGCCTGAAACATCTCCTTCTTGGTGCCATTCACAAATGTCATGGAAATATGAGAGATGCTGTTCAGGTATGAGTCTACACTGAACACTGAATGACGCAGATGATCTACTCTGGTAATGTTACTCATCTTGCTTTTTGCATCCATTTTGTCTGTGCTCCAGTCATTCCAGCTGGCTGCTAGAGATGACTATGGACGGCAGATCAACTCATACATTCAACCATATGCCGTCTATGAACTGGGATGTATACTCCTTGCACAACCAGAGGTCAGAGTGAATGCACTTTATAGTGTTTATATTTTTGCGATTCATTGATGATGTGAATCCAACTGATGAGACCACATGCTCAGTTATAATCCACTCTTTTCGTTTGTTTTGCAATCCAGACAGTGGGGAAGGGAAGGTCATTGCTACTCCAAGCAAAGGTAAAATATTCACATAGTAATCATCTAAATTAACATTTATTTTTATTTTTTCCCCCACATACAGTATATTACACATCACAAGACTCTATCTGTCATGTTTTTAGGAGGATTTTACAGGCTACGACTTTGAGAACAGGCTTCATGTCCGCATCCATTCAGCCCTGGCCTCGTTGAAGGAAGTAGTGCCTCAGTGACTCCAGGAAGAAGTTGCAATGGCTCAAGCTATGCTCATGGCTTTTTACCAGAAGTTTTAAGCCTTTCAAACTAACTGTTTGACATCCTAACGAACACACTCCTGTGTTTTTCATTCTTAAAGGATTTGGAGAAATACGCTTGTTTGTCATCTTACTCGCGCCCAGGCCTCACCTCTGTGCATTCACTACAGACATAACGGGTGTTCATGCTAGCTTAGCGCAAAGACTGGAAGCAGACGGAACTAGCTAGTGTAGCTGTGGCTAGCAATTTGAAAACTATGCTATAAATATTCATACTATAACTACGACTTGTCTTGTTGTTGACGAGCAAGCTAGTCACCAGTACATCCATTTACAATGGTTTTGTTACTGTGCAAACCTGGGAACTCTGCCATTGGGCCAATAATAGCTCACTGTTTCCCCTTGCTTCCTGTCTATATGCTAAGCTAGGCTAAACACTTTCCTAGCCTATCTCTGGACTGGATGCACAAAGAATTGTTATCGAAACTTGACTTGGAGCAAGACAACAAAGAAGTATATTCCCCTCAAATCTCTAATTGTTCCTTTAAATGTTTTCTGCACCCAAATGTATTAGCTAGCTAGTAACAATTTTCCTCATTAACTTGTGTATTTGGAGGATTTCAGTCATACCCCCCCCCCCTCCCCGCCCCCTTCAGTGAGCAATTCAGCACATAAAAGTAACCTTTCAATTAAATCATACTTCCCTGAATAGTAACTTTACCAAGCATAATGAAAGACACAGATCCAACGATTTCCACAATCTTTTAAAAACATGCAGATGACATTTGAACATCTTACAGAAATAATGAAATAGAATTAATAATGCCAATTCTTTGCCACATCACATATCATGGAAAAAAAAAAGATATGGGAAATATTACTCAAATTTAATATTTGATTTTATATGTTCTTATAAAGGACTTCATGGGTTGTTACATTTCCAGTGGTTATTTAATAAATAGTGCTTCTCCTAATAAAATTTTTAAAAAATCTGCTTGTCAAATTGCAAAAGGACTTTGAAGCATGTCACACGGGGGCCACTTATATTCACAACAGACTTTAAATGACAAACTTGTAATCTTAATTAGTTACTGGTCACCTAAAATCACACACAGCAACTACTACTGGGCTGCTGTGGGTTAGTCACACTTAAGTAGCTGGACATGTCACATTTATAGTAATTGAGAGATCACAACACTTCACAATTCCCTAATGATGTTTTGTATGTGAAAACACCAGGTATTGATCCTGTGCACTATGCATGGTATTGCAGGGTAACAGTGACTTTAAGACTGTACTGAAGTCAAACATACCTGTATGTCCATCCGTGCAAATACGTCAAGGTGTTATAATACAGTGCATTGGGTACTGTAATGTTACCACTGAACGGTGCTGCTAAATGTCAGCCTAATAATCATATATTAGAAGTGAATTATTTTAATAGTGTTTTAGTGGTACAAGCTTTTGAATTAGTCCATAATAGTGAAAAGTTTATTTATTACATAGCAGAAGTTGTACTTTTACAAGTGTCATTGACAGTATGCTATTTTAGTTTTGAGTCTTTATCCTGTAACGGCCAGAAAGGTAGACTGCAGTGTTCGTGATCAAGCCGGTTCAAAAGTGTGATCTTGAATTGGACTAGGAATAATATTTCTGTGATAAGTGATTTTAACAACTTTTCTCAACACAGTTTTACACTGTACATATGAATTATTCTGTGCAGGGTATTGCCTTCCGAGTTATGGTCATCTGAGCAATATAAGCAACAGGAGAACATCTTAATTTACAGAGGTTTTCAACAATGACTGTGTGTTTTTCATCCCATGTTCAGGGAAAGTGGGTGGATAGATTTGTTTTGCTCATGCTAAGCTGGACAGACAAAGCCAGTCATCCTCCTGTGGCTGTGGTGGATGTAAATTGTGGTAAATGTCGCGGTGACCACGGTGTGAGTGGTCGGCGCAGTGCAAGTGATGTGGTGAATGGTGAAATGTCAGTAAGATGTCACCTACCTACCTGTACCAAATACTTATTGTCACTGAGAGATTTGTTTTCCTTTTGTCATGAGATTTTGTTGAAATTGAGGTTACATGTGAGGATGATGGTGTTCTAATGTGTCACTGAACTCTACAATAAATAATGTTCTCCATTAATCTGGACAAATATGTGGTATTTATCTATTTCTTTTTTGGTGAAATTGTACTTAAGACAGGTCATTTTATGTCAAATGTAGAATGTTGTCAATGTGTTTATTCTTCAGAGGCGTGTTTAATCATGGTTTAACGTCTTATTGCCATTACATTGCTTCTTCTTTTTTAATTTTTTAATTTTTTATCTTTCTACATCGTCCATTTATTTTTATTCCACCAGGGGGCGCTTATCTCACAGGCAGCGTGTGGGATGTAATGTAGTGTTTTTTTCCCACACCTTGGTTGCAATGACAGTATAGTAGACACCATAAAAATTATTTGAGCTCAATGAGAATACCCAGTGGTGGAAAGTGACTCAGTGCATTTACTCAAGCACCATACTTATGTACAATTTTGGGGTGTCTGGAGGGAAATATTGTACTTATTATTATTTGACAGATTTTATAACCAGTTACTTGTAGAGTCAGATTATTAATCCAAAGATCTACAAATAAAACCCACAAAGAAATAGTGATGTAATTTTATAGACCTAGCTACCCAGCCTATATAAAGTGGTTAAATTATCACCAACTTTATGTCCTACATCATTCAGAAAGCTAATCTATCAAAATATATACAAATGGATGAAACATGATTAAGTTATCACTGGCTAATTGTTACATTATCCATCCACGGGACATGATTGCACTGACAATGTGTTTTTTTCATTCTCATTTATTTTTTAATTTGATTAGAAATCGTAAATTGTCAAAAAATAGATTTCACCATTTTATTCTCGTAATAATATGTTCTTATAAGCTTCTTTTACTGGCCGTGAGATAAGGAGCGATCTCCCACTCAAAGAATTATCTTTACATTCATAATTTAGTTTGTGATATTATTGCCCCTGTTGTTTCCATGTTGAGGGTGATTAGGGTGGGAGCAGGGTGCTCTGCATGCTCTGATAGAGACACACCAAGAGCGTCTCTTTAAGAAAACATGTCTGTCACACTAGGCTCAAGGCAGCAGCTCACTCAACCAATGAATTATTCAGGCTTCTGTGCAACTGAATTTAGACATGGCAGGGCAGAGCTGGAAGGCTGGGCAGAAACAATACCCCAGGCTCCTCCTCCATCTTCCTGTAGTGGACGCTGGTACACCTAAATAATCGAAAGACATTTCCTTTCACGCTCACTTCTAAAACTGAGCCTTCAGCTTGGCCTACTTCACTTTAAAACACATAGGACAAGTGCATTTGGGGGTACCTCATCTAGTATGTAGTCTGTGGTGATTCACAGCCGTGACATCATCCTTTTCCATCTGCTGTGATTCATTCTCACTCCTTATATTTTTTGGTGTAGTGTTGGGAGTCGGTGCTACACTTCAAGCAGCAAACTCTTTCAGTGCATGGATTAGACCTTGAAATCGTAATGCTGGTGAATTAAATAAAGCAGTTACATCAGATAGAAGTGGAAGATAGAAGACAGAGAGGGCCCAAGATAAATGTTACACATCAACTATGTGTGTCCGAGAGAGAGAGAGAGAGAGAGAGAGAGAGAGAGAGCAGTAGGAATGGTAGGACTGTGCAAAGAGCAAGGTCACAAAACACAATTGCATTGTGTTTCACTCAGCTTGAAACCTGAGCAGCCAAAGTATCCTACCACCAGATAGAGAGTTCCTGTTCAATACCCTTTATTGCTGCTAAGCCTCATGTGCAATGGACTTTGTATTTTATCTTAATACAAGCTTGGTAAAATATTCTCACAAGCACCGGTCACGTTATAGCTAGGTGAAAATTGATTTAAACTAAGAGGTATGCACTGTAAGACATTTGAAATGAAGAATACTTCAAGATATAGACAGTTGTTTGGCAGGTAGTATTGCGGCTGCTGCTCAGATTCCAGATTGTATTATACTATAAAATAATTTATTTTTATTATGCACCATTATTTGTCATAAGATGGATGACAGTGAGAAAAAAAAGGAAAAAAGAAAATGTATTGGTCTGATAGCGACAACCTTTGTAGCCACTAGATCGTTATGGTCCTCTCGTCCTGTAGTTTGGGTCAGGTCAATGCACAAGGACACATTGACATTATTAGTCCTGGTCCTCTCATCTCTCCAATCAGCTCAATGACTGTCTGAGAGCTTCTCACTGAGAAGAGGCAACAAAGTCCTCCATCCTCAGTAGGTCGTTTACTCCAACCCTGTGATACGACCCACTGAAGCGTCTCCCGAAGTGCCCCCTAAAATGCGGCAGCCCGTCCTCATGGTTACAATAATTAACATGCAGCTAACTTTATGGGTTTAGGAAACGATCGCGGTTTTGGATAATATTAGTACTTCCGAATGGGTAAACGGTTAAAACATGACGTGACATAATGACATAAATTGCTGTGTGACACCTGTCTTTTTTTACCTGGTAACAGACGCTTTTTGCAGGCACTGTTAGACAGCTCTACTGCCATACACAACAATACGCACATGCACATTGACAAACGCACTCAAGTGCAGTTGCTGCCCGAACTTTCACACAACTGACTGTGATTTGCTAGTTAGACTGATTAACTAATTCAAAATTTTTTTTTTTTTTACTGTCATTGTTCTTCTGTTCTATAGCAGGAGAAATCACAGCAGCGTTACTGCAGATCAGCTTCTGTTAGGGCATGTACATGTGTGCATACATGTCTTGCTATGGTTGTGGGGACAAATTTAGGTTCAAAACCATCATTGTGAGGTCACTTTGGCCAGTCCTCACGCTTTTTGAGGGAGACCTGCAGTGACTGAGGTCAACATGAATGAAACTCAAAGCACCGTCCTCTGTAGAAATTGAAACGTGCGTTATGGATACGCACCAAGCAGCACGCACATTCAAAATTTCTTCAGGAATTTTCTAGTACTTTTAATGTTATCCTCTAACGGCGCAATGTTCCGCAATCGTGTCCTCATTTCTGCGTGTGGTAAAAATATCTTCAACTGAGCATAGTCGTCAGGGAATTATGTTAACTACGCGTTTGTATCCTAATCAGGCTGCGCGGACTCCGTGACGGGATTGGTCGAAGCAGAGAGGAAGCGCCTCCAACTCCACGGCCGGCTTCTCCTATTGGTGCGATAATGATCCTCCGAGTCCTCGCCACAGCTGTAGCCGTTCAAGCATTCAGAGGAAAAGAGTTTAAGAAGCCGGCCAGCACATCATTAATGGCGGCTGACATGATAGGCAGCTCGCCTCTTTACCGCCTTTGTCTACATTTATATGTAATTTGTGTTTTGGTTTGAGATGCTGGTAGTGATTGTTGGGGACTGGGTTAGTTTTAAAATTCTGATTGTGCATCACACCCTTAGAAACAGACTGTTGGACACATTAGGAACAGGGGTGCTGCTTGTGTTTTGGGGTTGGTTAGAATCGCACAGTTGGGCTCTTTGTTGGCTTCTGTTCCCCTACTTTAGTTATCCTCTCACCTTGTTTGTATTTTTGTTTCCTTATTTAGCCTCCGGGTTATGCAATAAATTTGATTTACGAATAACATCTGGTTTTATGTTGTTTCCCTTTTCTCCTAGCTGTTTCGTATCATAAAGACTGCCAACATATGGTGACTGGGAGGACAATACACCATGATTTCTTTGTATATAGAAACCAACATGGCTGCAACTGAAACCTGGGTCTGTGAGCAGTCCACGACCAGTAAGTGAAATACTCGGTGAGTGAAATTTCCCGGGTTGTTATGTCTTCTTTACTTGCAGAAATCAACTGCCTGGTACTGGATGTGAGTCCCACAGCGTCTGAGGTTTTTCTTTCCCAGGAAAGTGGTTCCACAAAGGGTTTATATCTTGATGCTTCATGTGAACAGTGCAACATCTACTGGCCTGAATGCAAAATGAGCAAGTACAAATGTTTGTACATCACAAATTCAATGTAAGTATAAGGTAAAGCATGATTGTATTTTATAATCCAAGCACAGATTTATATACTGTCAAAGCAAATCAAAATGTTTTATATGCATCGAATGTGTCAATATCAGTTAAGCTCAATGTCTTAGTTTTAGTGTTGGCAAAATACATGTAGCTTTAGTTTTAAATGTCAGCGTTGGTGGTTGTGCTGTAAAGGTTCAATATAAGATGTGGCCAGGACTTGAATGAATGAATCAACACTATCAACAGTGTGTGAAGGAGACGCAGTGATCTACTGTGTTTCAGTTATCTACTGAAATGAGCACGGTAACCAGCCAGCCCCGACCTGTCCTGTGTTGTAATACCACTTTGTGACACTAGACGCTGTGTGAGTCAGTGGCGCGTCAAGTCTTCCCTCAGTCCCACGAAGAAGAACAACTTCCGGCAGCGCTTTAAGTTAGCAGAAACACAGGAATGGCTGAACCTCCTAAAAGGCGATATGTATCTTTATCCCGCAGGACCGCTCCCGACAAGAAACCACGTTCAACGGCGAAGAAAAGAAGCAACACGAGTAACTCTCGATGTGGTTTTCCACCGCCGGAGACGGCTCCTGAGAGTAAAGAGATGCGGTTTGATGCCGAGCTCGCAACTTTCCTGTTAGCCCGGTGAGTTACATCATTGTTGGCTTTTTAGCTAAAAGTATAATCAGTGCAACGACTGACAAACCGTACCGACAAACATTTCAGGTGGTGATATTGATGTTGTCGACAGACGTTTTAGCAGTTACTAGAATTGTCTGTTCCTCTCGGCTGTTGTACAGCTAGTTACGTGAGTAACTTTAGGCTATATACGCACACGCACACGCACACCCCCCCACCATGTTTGAATGTAAAGAACTTGTATGATCTAAATGAATTGTCCTATCACATGTGTCTTCATCAGGACCAGAATTCCAGTCTAATCATCACCAATGATGGACCAGCACCTGCCTTTCCTTCTGCATCTGGCCTCATCAATCAACAACCACATTACAGTAACACCTTGAGGTATTATCCCTGCACATAACAGATATTGTCTATACTGTGATCTTTTGCACATGCCCTAATCAATACCTTTTGCACAGCTTGC